CTCCCTCCTCCTCCCGGGCTCCCCCGCCGCGGCGGCAGGCGCCGCACCGCCTGGCCGCCGGGCCAGGGCGCCCAGGCGGCGCAGCGGCTCGGCGGCCAGCGCACTCTCGCTCCGCAGCAGGAGGCCAGCGGCCGCCGCGGCGTGGTGCCAGGGCGCCTCGCTCGCTCGCCTCATCCTTCTTCTCCTCCTCCTCCTCTTCCGCCTCCTCTTCCGCCTCCTCCTCCGCCTCTCCTCCTGCTTCCTCCTCCGCCTACTCCTCCTCCTCCTCCTCCTCATCCTCCTCCTCCTCCTCCTCCTCCTCCTCCTGCTCCTGCTCCTGCTCCTGCTCCTGCTCCTGCTCCTCCTCCTCCTCTCTCCCCTCCTCCTCCTCCTCCTCCTCCTCCTCCTCCTCGCTCCCCTCCTCTTCCTCTTCCTCCTCCTCCTCCTCCTCCTCCTCCTCCTCATCCTCCTCGTTCGTCCTCCTCCTCCTCTCCTCCTCCTCCTCCACCTCCCCTCCTCCTCCTCCTCCTCCTCCTGCTCCTCTCCTGCTCCTGCTCTCTCCTCCTCCTCCTCCTCTTCCTCCTCCTCTCCTCCTCCTCATCATCATCATCAGCATCATCAGCAGTATCAGCATCATCAGCATCATCAGCATCAGCATCATCAGCATCAGCATCAGCATCAGCAGCAACAGCATCATCATCATCATCATCATCATCATCATCATCATCATCATCATCATCATCATCATCAGCATCATCATCATCATCATCATCATCAGCATCATCATCATCATCAGCATCATCATCATCATCATCATCCATCATCATCATCATCATCATCATAATCATCATCATCATCATCACACCATCATCACATCATCATCATCAGCAGCATCATCATCATCATCATCATCATCAGCATCAGCATCAGCATCAGCAGCATCATCATCATCATCAGCATCATCATTATGATCAGCATCATCATCAGCATCATCATCATCATCATCCTCATCATCCTCATCATCATCATCGGCATCATCATCATAATCACCATCGCCAGCATCAGCATCATCGACAGCATCATCATCATCGTCATCAGTATCAGCACAAGCAGCAGCGGCATGGTCATCATCATCATCATCATCATCATCATAATCATCATCATCATCATCATCATCATCATAATCAGCATCAGCATCAGCGTTATCATCATCGGCATCAGCATCAGCAGCATCAGCACCATCATCAACATCAGCAGCAGCAGCATCAGCATCAGCATCATCCTCATCAGAATCACCATCAGCATCAGCATCATCATCAGCGTCATCATCAGCAACATCAGCATCAGCAGCATCAGCATCATCATCATCAACATCAGCATCATCAGCATCAGCATCAGCATCAGCATCAGCATCAGCATCATCAGCATCACCATCACCATCAGCATCAGCATCAGCATCAGCATCATCATCATCATCATCAGCAGCAGCATCAGCATCAACATCATCAGATTCATTTTCATCCTCGCCGCGGCGTGGGGCCAGGGCGCCTCGCTGGCCGCCGCCTCGCGCGTGAGGCCCGACGCCAGAGCCGTGCAGGCGCGCCCGAGCTCGACGGCCGCGCTTAGGAGGGGGTCCTCGTCTCGGGACACACGAGTGGGGTGACAGCTCATGAGAGACCATATTGTCGGCTCTTACGAATCGACCCTCGTCGACGCTAAATCGAAGCTAAATCGACGCTAATCGACGCTGGTCCACGCGAGCCGACGCTAAATCGGCGGTACCGCGTCGACCCCCACACGCTAGTCGACGCCAGTCGACGCTAAAGCCAAAATTGCGAGGGTACACGAAGCTCCCATGATCTGCTACCGACACGAGCCACATGATCCATCGCTCGGGAATCCATTGCCCGCGCGTGTTTCGGTGCCGTGCGTCTTCATTATTCTTTCGTGATCAGTACTATTATTACTATTCGTTTTCTTGTTCGATAATATATATATATATATATATATATATATGTGATTGTTCGTCATATCTTTATTCGTCGTGTGATAATTCTTCTTCCTCACCAGATGATCCAAACAATGCTCCTCGATGGTCCTCGCCGAGAGCCGTTGCACACGTCCGAACGATCCCACTGAAGAGAAAAGGCTCCACCGAGATCCTGGCGTCTCAGCGTTTTCGAGCCGCACGCTTTCGAGACAGGGTTCGGGCCATGAAGCCCCCACACATCGATGCGGCTCGGAAAACGGTGCAGGAAATGGGGTCCGGGCTCTCGCTGTGAATGTAGTATGTCGGCGTCGTGGCAGGCCCCAGGACCGCAACCGCCTCGCGATGCAGAGCTGGCCCTCGGGAGCGCGCGGGGACTTCCGGGGGCCGCGCGCGGGGCAACAAGACAGCATGGCATGTTTGGGGGGGCGGCAACACCCCCACCAGCGCAAGGCGCCAGGGAGGGCATTCCCGGCAGCGCGGTTTTCCCCTCTTGCGCGAGGCATCCCCCATCTCCACATGATGGGCCATTCTCCACCACCGCTACCACAAGTAGGAGAGGGAGGAGGAGGAGGAGGAGGAGGAGGAGGAGGAGGAGGAGGAGGAGGAGGAGGGGCAGGAGGAGGAGGAGGCGGGGGGAGGAGGGAGTAACCATGACGCGCCTTGGGAGAAGGGGAGAAAGGTCCCGCAGAGGCCTACCTGTCCTGAGCGCGGAGCGTGATGAGCTCGCGGCACGCCGAGGAACGCATCGCCTCGGCGCGGAGGCGGGCCGCTATCGATAACCTGGCGGAGCGGGGGGCCGAACTCCCGGCGGCACGCTGTACATTGAACGCAACATGGGCCGCGTCAATCGTGAGTGCAATTGATCACAGACCCGCACGTCCTTCAGAGGGGTCGGCAGCGAAGAGAGCAAAAGAAGACAGACTGTCATGGCCCCAGTTTTCAGGAAGCTTAGGTCAACAAGTTCTTTACTAGAGGAAGCACGCACGGGCAACTCACATGACATAGTGTGGGATTTTGTCACCACCCACAGCACAACAACAGAACAGGCAACATTGGCGACCCTGACGGAATCTCCGAGACGTAGCCCAAGCATTCGCTAGTGTTTTGAGGACCGACGAGGCTCTACAGGGGCCCACCTACGAGAGATTACCGCAATCCGATCTGGACAGTCAGAGGCGTGTGCTCGGGTCGTCGGGAATCAGTAATTGAGTCGGGCCTGCAGGACAGAGAGCGGGGAAAGAGACGATGGTGTTCTCTCGTGATCTTCCTCTGGAGGCCATTACAGAAACAAGAAGGGACCGATCTCCACAAGCTTGTTAAAGGTGTTCAGCATGTTGACAAAGGCCGAAGACACATAGGTAGGAGAGGAAGCATAGAACAGTACACGTTCGCCATCGAAAACAAATCTGGCGAGGTGGTCTCGCAATCTCATAAATTCTTCCGAACGCAGCGCTGCGCGGTACTGAGCGGCACGGGCACAATGAGCGATGCTTCTCGCTCCAAACGAAAAGCCAAACATATCAAGATCCCAAAGTATCTTCGACGTGAAGTGACGCGTAGCTGCGCCTGGGCGCGATCGGAAGCTGCCGGGGCGCCTCGCGCTCCACGCGCGCACAGGCAGGAGACGGCGCGAAGAACTGCGCCGCGTGCTGGACCACGGGCCGGCAGTACATGCCAGAGAGGCCTAACGACACCCTAAAGTAAACGCCAGCCCGACCGATGTTCGCCTGTAATATTTCAATGCGTTCACCAGGCAGCCCTGGCGGAAGGAATCCTCCGCCTCCGCGGTCGGCAACGCGAACTGGCTTCTCTTCACATGCGCGAAGAGGCACGCCGCGCGGGCCAACTGAACAAAGTGGATCGCCATGACCTCGTGCGCTTTGGCGAGGCTCTCGACCGCAGCGCCGAGGTCATCCGCGCATGCGCAGGGGCGACTCGACAGGGGAAGGAGGCCATGCTTCATGCGACGGAACCACGGATCGAGAGCGAGACCGAATATGCGCCCAGATAATGGACGCCCCGGCTCGACGCCCCTAGGTAGCAATGTGAACTTCCCGAAAATAGCGCCCCCAAGCCGAACGTGACTGTTGATGCCGCGATATAGATTCATAATCATATACAAATACCACTCAGGAATACCCACATGCAGTTGAACATGCATCATCCACCCATGTGAGTTACCAGGGGAAGCCTGTTTCATAGAGAAAAAACAATGCCAGGCGCAGGGGCATTCTCATACGCCACATACTGCGCATGCCGACCGTCGAGCGCAAGATCGTTGCCAGCTAAAGACCTGCCCCCCGCAAAGCCCCCCTGGTCTTCGCTAGCGGCGCGGCGAGCAGCGAAGCTGAGAGGCTGGGCAAGCGCACTGCATATAATCTCGCAGTCGCAGTCACCGAGGGCGAGCGGCCGCGCATTCCCAGGCGCTCGAACAGGGCTGGCCTCCAGCGCGCCCGTCGGCAAGAAAGCGAAGAAAGACTCCCTGCACGCGCATGGGACTCCCCCCCGCGCCGAGGATGCGAAGGCAATGGGAGGAGAGAGCAAGCCGAGCCGTCGATCCACCAAACTTCCACGATGAGTAAGGCATCCCATCCAGTTCAGGACTAGAATCATGAACGCGGTCCATAAGTTTGTTAAACTGTTCGGACTCCAGGGCCCATATTACGCCCTGAGGGGCGGATTGGATCCAAAGGCTGAGAATGCCCATGCCCCGGTGGAAAGGAGGAAAAAGGGCGAGCAACATGAGCCCAACGTGCACGGGGAAGGTCGGCACATTTGGCAGGGTCAGTCTGGGGCGCGCCCGAAGGACCCACAACGCCACGAAGCACTACTCGCCTGCGACGGGGAGCCCAAGCCCGAGACAACCTTTGAAGTTTTGCGAGCCCAGCGGTCCTGGAATGGCGCGGAAGAGATTCATCGCGAACGAGTTCCGCTCGCTCTTCCTCCAGCTCGCCACTGCTCAGCGACGCCAGGAAGTGATGGACCCTATCCTCTAGCCAGAGTTAGCCGTCTTCGCGGGCGAAGTCAGACAGGCGCGGAAAGCTGCGGACGGCCAACTGAATTTTAGAAATACCATCACGACGACGCATTTGGCCATGATACATACACCGAGCGACCTTGCGACCAACGCACTTAGAACCCGAAGCACAGGTACTGCAACACAGCTTCTGAGAAACAAGGTGCATGATGGATTCCAGCTCCGAAATCGCACAGCCGGCCCCCCCGACAAAAAAAAAACCCACGCACACACACCACCCCCACCTGCCCCTCAACGAGACGACCGAAATCAGCATGGCGGCATGCCCGCCGCGGCATGGCAGGGTTAACGCTGCGAGGTAAGACAGCGAGACAGGCATGCACTGGCACGTGGTCGCTTACATCTCGAATATCTGACGGCTGCCACTCAGCGCCAGCGGCGGGGGGCACAATCTAGAATTACTGATGGCGGCAAGCTAGTGAAGATGCGATCGAGCCTGGCGGTGCTCACCAGGGGCCCGTTTCTCCTCGTGCAATGGGTGTGGTTGTCCTGGGCCAACTCCGTGAACCGACGGAACAGCCTGTCAAACTCCGTCGCGAGTGACCCACTAGAGGTCGAATCCAGAGAAGGATCAACATGTGTCGGGCTTCCCCAAGAGCACAAAAATTCCCGTCGCCATCTACGATCATAGCCGAATGGACTGCAGCCAGCGAACGTGCCACCTTCCCGAGGAACTCCTTCCTCGCAGCGACAGCAACACATGGATCGAGATGTGCAGACCAGAGTAAGAGAGCCTTTTCCACATCCATCGTAGTTGCCGAACACCTTCCATTCATTAGAGTCATTGTGTGGAAGTCATCCAAGAGACCATGAAGACGAGCGTGAACGCATACTTAGACACCTCCACTGACGCTGTCGTCACAGAACGACCCCGAGAACTGACGGAAGGGAAGAAGGCGAGCGGGAGTGTCTAGATCCACAGAGTGCCCGTGCGCTTCCTGAACTAAAAGGGCATCAGATCTCTCAGCGAGACGGAGAAAAGTACTACATGTTTTGGCTTGGAGCGAATGGTCCCCGCCCACAGCTCCAAAAAAGCGTCGCGGCATTCCACGCGCAGACGGACAGGCGAGACGAGGGGGCAAAGCGGACGGGAGGAGAAGAGACACGAGCCAAAGACGAGGGGGCGGGGACACCCGAAGACACGGATCGAGAGGGCACAAAATCTGCACTGGCAATGCGGACATCCCCTGTGGCCTCACACCAGTTTGAGTTCAGCAGCTCGATCACGCCATGGATCTTGACCTCTGGGGTCGCCCACTCTGCGCACTTCACGAGTACAGCATGCGAACGCCCCTCACCACCCGAAACAGCCAGGTCGAACACGCCCGCGTCCGTTGTGACAGTGATGCTGTTCGAGAGGCCTGAACACCACAATCGGAACGAAGGCTGCCACTCCCCGCGGGCTTTCAACAGCGTCATGAGAGGAGCCCAAGCTTGTCCCCGATGTCGCTGGCGCCTCCGAACCTCATGTGGCAAGTCTCCGCGGCATCGAAGATTGGTCACCTTATGCCTTACGGGGATCCGTCCATGTGATGTTGGCAGTGGCTAACCAGTTCGAGAAGCTTCTCGCCAACACCTCCCTCTCCCAAACGACCGAGAAACTGAGCGATGAACGATGAAAATGAGGCGTTGCAGCATGCGCGAACAACGCCGAAGGCATCACACTGAGGATTTCCGTCCACGTCTGCTTCCTTGTCACATCTAACACTTTGCGAGGGTATGTTCCGCTCCAGCGGCGGCATGAGTTCGACACGTCCGTCGGCGGCGTCCGAACATCGATCCAGCTAGCAGCCGAAGCAGCCCTCGATGTGGGGCCTCGACGGCGCTTGGAACCAGGAGGAGACGAACCTGCCCCCAAAGCTGAACTGGAAGAGCCTGCGATCACATCTCCACGCACTTCCTTCTTCAAGGCGGCGACCGCGTCCATGCATTGTTTGCACTTCGTGCCGAGAATATCACTTAACGTGGTGATCTGGGAATTGAGCTGAGTCACCTGCGGCTCTAACTGGCGCAATCGGGCAACCGCGGCGTCGGTCCTGCGGATCGCTTCGTTGATCGTGGCCATGTCCCAAGCCTGAGAACGCTATATCTGAATGAGCATCTCCTTGATATCCTGTGCATCGACAATTGCGGCAACTGTCGATAGGAGCGAAACACGATATCAACGAACTGGAGAGTGGGGGGCCCAACTCCCAGAGTGAAGGCCGCGCGAAAAGATAACGAAGGATAAACCTGCCTGGCCGCGGACTAGCGGTATCCACTTGGTTCCCAGGGGGCACAAACACCTTGAGCCAAAATGGCTACGGAGGGGGGAGGAGGCAGGAGGAGGAGGAGGAGGAGAATGAGGAGGACCTCCTCATCCTCCCTTTTGCCCCGTCCTACATTGGGTAGTAGTGGTGGCAAATCTGCCCATCTCCATCCCCAGCTCGGGGAGGTTACATCGTGGGCCCCCTTGCCGGGGTCGGCCTCCCTGGTGGTGGTGGTGCCGCCTCTC